AGACACCAAATATATGTATACACACTACATTACATATATATGTACATATACTTTTCATCTCTCCGAATCGGCCCTATAGCCTACTTTATTCATTCTCTAGTATCTTCGTTATATTCTTTCTTTTTACGACGCTCGGTTCCGCTCTAGCTGATGATGGATTCAATGTTTGGGTAATTGTCGTGCATGTAAATCGGGCCCTCGAATTCTCATTAAAAAAGCAATACACGTTCCGGACGTTCCTGCAACCGATAGTCAAAGCACCATGCATGGTCGTTTCTTTATCCCGTCGGTGCATTGTTATTCCTCAGATTCTTACGAGCTATTAGGAGTTTGCAGGTTGTTTGATAAAACGATCGTAAAATCCGGGAGAAAGACTGGCTGTAACGACGTTAACAATTTTCTATACGTATATTGTGAGTGTCTATATATGATATAACGTAGTGTTTATATAAACGCAAACATTGATTAATGTCTCTCGTTAGAAGACATAGTCTTAGAGTTGTTAAAAAAGTGAAGGGACAATAGGCAAACACAAACGAAATTCATAAATTATTCTCGCTCTATTAGTAGATAAAGTTGGAACTTTGATTATATAACTGATAAATACTATAGATACATAACTCTTAGAATAGATAACGCATAAATATTTTATATTTATTTTTTTGAATAAGAGTTATTATTTACATGATATTTATTTATATAAAATTATTTATACAAATAAATATAATATAGATTTTATTACTTACAAATACTTTATTTCGTTAACAGAGTTTTCATGAACGAATAAGTAGTCGCATAATTCTCAAATTTTATTGACAAATTAATATTGTAAATTAAACTCTCTCTCTTTTACTTAAACTATCTACCAAACGTATATATTTTAAATTGTTAAACATATGTATAAAAATAGAACATCTCTATTGTGTCTACATATATGATGTGTGTGTGAGAGAGACAGCAAAATTGTAAAACACAATGTGTGTATACATTTCTTTACAAATTTTAGTGCAATTTTATAGGCTTTACAATAGCACATTGTAAAATATAGGACAAACGATGATTATTTATAGCAGCATATCGGCGCTAAACGCGTGATAACTACTACTATTATGTTGCACAATCATATTGCTTATTTTCCTGCGATCGAGCGCAATACGTATAGATAATATTTAACACGCACGTCATCTTACTATCCAATAATACGTCGAAGTCATAATATTTTCCCCGGCGAGATACGGGAGGGAGTTTGAATAACGTGATTTCGATCGATATCAGGTAGCGAAAAAAATATCCATGTGTCTCTATCTTTCTTGAGACATCATAATGAAAATATGTATTATTCCAAACAAAGCTGTCAGAAATAAATTATTTCTAATGTAATTTATGTGCAGTTTATTGTTGATAAATGATATAAGTCAAATTAACAATAAGTTGAATTTTTTATTAAGAAAAAATCATCAGCATAATACTGTCTCTCAGAATTGTTATATTTTTATTTTTAATTGCAGTACTTTTTAAGAAGTTTAAAATAGATTGTCCATTCCTTTTCCAGTAAAAATTTGATAATTGATTTAATTACAGATTTATTAAAAATAAAAGTAAAAAAAGGTTTAAAAGAATTAAAACTATTTTAAATTAAAATTAGTTGAATAAGGATTTAACTTTATATTTAATTATGACATCATATTGAATAAAAAATAATTATATTGAATAAAATTAAGTTAAAAATTAAAAACTGGATAACTGCGGAAAATTTTGAGGAAATTTTAATTCCTCAATGTTAAAGATTTTATTATGACAAATTGCACAATATCGTAATAACAGCATTACTTTTGATACATTCTGTACGATTGACCGGTTTTCTTCTGCAGAATCCGGTTATTCTGTTGTTTAATGTTGAAAATATAAGGATTGCATATATAGCTCTTTACAAAATATACACATTATGCAAGACAACTGTAAGAAATTTTATTTAATGTTTTTCTATTTTAAATAATTTGTTTACAATTATACATATACATATACATACACTAAGAAAAAATGTTCTAGATTTTAGTAAATATTAGTTTGCATACAACTGTAATTCTATTTACTAAAATAAAGAATTTTTTTTTATTAGTATTAGTATATGCATGTGTATTCACTGAGAAAAAATATACTAATAAAAAGGAAAATTTTCTTTATTTTAATAAATGGAATCACAGTTGTATGCAAACTAATATTTACTAAAATCTAGAACATTTTTTTTCTCAGTGTATTTATGTGAAATATCGTATTATAATATCTCTTATTATTTTACTTGAATATGGAATTCTAGATATAAGTTTTAGTTAAGACTAATATTAATATTATCAATTGATATTAAAGATAAAACTCGGAAACTTATGGATACATTTAAATGTTGAATAAAAATATAATCATTGTTTTACGTTATCGAGCGCACACTCGATTATGAATGCGGAATTTAAGATTACGATCGTGTTTTTTCTATATTGAGTGCTGAATTGTAAATTAGATTTAAAAAGAAATCGCGCGATGACAACACGACCATATTGAATTAATTATCGATCAATAGTAGAGTACTTTTCCTATCACAAAGCTTTTAAGTTGACTGATAGTGAAGACTCTTATATTGATGTATGAAAACGTATTAAAAATATATCTATTTATATAGCATAATCACATGTATGAGAGTAGGCCATCGATGCATTATCACGTCGTGTATAGATACACATAACTTCTATATACTGTAAAAATTTATTTTTTTTTTGTATAATCTTTTCATTAATATTAATAGTATCTACATAATATTTTTTAATTTTTTTGATGATGATTAGATTTATGATAATTTTGTGTCAGCGGGTTAAATAAAAGATTTGTGTAATATATTATTAACTAAATTTTGACTTAAATTATTTTGCATTTACGTAAACATTAATATATTTTATTTTATTTCATTCAAATTTTGATATATTTTAAAAGAATATAGAACACACGGACATCGGAAACAGTACTTACTTTCGACATAATTTTCTTTCTTTTCAGCAATTCCCAAAGAATTACACACATAGAAAAGTAATTAACAAAAACATATTGCATTATATGATTATAATAAAATTATGATAAATCAGATATACTGACCTGAAGAAAACATATTTCACGTTTTCAGTTGTATTTCATATATACGAATTATATAACAGATTTATATTTATAGTGCGGAATATTACAAAGTAAAATTTTATTAAAATTTTAATTTTTTTAACTCTCTCTCTTTCTTGCATATATAAAATTTCTTTTAATGTATGTTTTACAACAATAATTAAGTTTCATGCATATAAAAATACATGTGAGTAAATATCAATATATTGTATACAATTTCGCATTATAATTATATTTATATAAAGATCATTCTTATCCAAACATTATATCAAATAAGCAATTCTTCAGAGTTTATTATTTGCATAGAAGAAATACAAGTTATATTAAGACACATTGCTAAAGTTTCCGCTCACTCATCACAAGTCTGCATTAGCTTCTATAAAAGTAGCAATACCTGAGTGTAATCACTCAAGCTCCAAGGTCTTCTCTCTTGAGCCCACTATTTTTTTTACGCGCCACCTATTTTCTTCTCTTTATTTTGGCAAGCAGAAACCATATAAAGAATAGCAAGCCTGTCAGTCAATGATTATACTGTTTTCAGACTTATATCGAATTTCTATACATATATTCTTGAAATCTCTTAATTTTTTCTTACCGTTTAATTTGTGAATCCCCATATTTAATTACATTATATCGTTGATTTTAAATTCTAGGCAAATACATTTTTTTATATGAGTTAAACGTGGTAAAATTTTCAAATTAATTGTAGCAAAATTAATGATTTTGGTGTTTAGATTTTAGATTTTTAGTTATTTTCCAAATTCTTGACGATTTAAATTCCATAAATGTTGCTTGTAAAAATTTCTAAATTTATTTCAAAGAGTAATTGGAATTGATAAGCATTCATATAATGTATCTTGAAAATTGTGTGTCAATATTTGCGAAACTCAGGACGATGTTATATTATCGTAAAATAAACTGCCCCTCAATTGTAGTAAGTGCCGTATAGCATTTCACGATAATATCTTCCTTCCCATATTTCTTCCATTCCATGCCGAACCACGCAAGCGCTCTTTCGCGAAATTTATTTCACCTCGAGAATTCGATATCATCAAATAATCCATATATTTATTCGCAAAAGTCTGCGTAAGAAAAATAGAAAAAATATATTAAATTCATCTACATTGCATTTATGATTATATTGATATTTATTGATATAGTCATATCATAAACTAATAACAATAAGAAATTACGACGTAATAGTGACGTGCAATGTATATATACTGTTAAAAGAAATCGATACTTTGGCAATATCGAATTTAAAGTAAATTCTTAAGTTATATTTTATAAATTTTAAAAAGGAAAATATGTAATTATCCACAATATTCTGATCGAATCTTACTGTTAATTTAACATTATTGGCATACAATTATAAACATTTTAGAAACTAGATTTTAATGTGAAAAATTTGGAAATTTTAGAAAAGCGTATAAATACCTAATCAAACATTGATCACAAAAGGACCTTTTTGATTTTGTGAATTGATTTTTTTGATACATAGAAAAAATAGAAAAATAAAAAATTTTCAAATATTTTGTGCAATAACTTATAATTGATTCTTAATTGATTAAATTTAATATAATTTAATTTAATTTAAATTATAATTTAAAAATAAGATGCTTATATATATATAAGTATCAAAGATTATTAACGTCTTGACGACGAGAACCAAAACCAATAGTCGAATCGTCACGATGATTGTTTGCCAATTACAGCCGGAAGAAATGAAAGTTTAATTAATTGTTTATTATATTGTTGGCAATTTACGAATGTATACTTTAGGTTAATTGATTCTGTTTTATTTTCAGGATTACTGAAGTGCTATTGCGATATATGCCCGGAAACCAATTACACCTGCGAAACCGATGGTTATTGTTTCGCTAGTACGAGCCTGAAAAACCACGTCATTACGTATGCTCGGAGGTAACGTATTTGCACGTGGATTTTATTGATGAGTATACGCGATTTACACTCGAAACTCCCTTTTATTGACTCATTTCTTGGTCGCCGGTAGATTTACCGTCAATGGAATAGCATTTGTTCGATACCGGCCCAACCCTCCATAAATTATATTCACTTATTTCCCTCCTACTAAGTTTTATATAAAATTTGTTAGTTTTCAGTGTGTAGTATCAGTTAGGATATACATCATAAGGTATACATCAGATTATTGAATATTAACAAAATGATTTATTACGTACTATCAATTAGGAGCGCAAAATCGAGTCCGTCTCGAAAGGAAGGTTTGACACGGGCATATTGACGTTCATAATGAATCGGATAGTCATTATGGTGTCTGGATCGATGTTTGTTAGTGGGCGATCAATGACACTAATGTTATAACACAGATTTTCTAAGCTCTCTCAACAAAACAAGATCCGGTTCGTTATCATCCTCTTCGTGTTATCTGTAATATTTATCATATGAACGGACAGTTCATAATAATATGTTGCAAGACTGCATATCTACTCAACATTAACAAAAAACTTGAAAAATTATTTAGTTAGGTGAGACGCGATTGTTTCAAAAGATTTCCTTATTTAGTTATTCTTTTTTTATTATTTTATTTTATTTTTAATTTGCAATTATTAACTTGTTATATTTATACGAAACATTTATATGTTCTCTAATTAGAACTATATTATATTTTTTTCTAATCAAATTATATTCTTATATATCTACAGTATATATTTTTGTTTGTATGTAAGTTTTTCATGTTTAAAAATCCCAATTTTTTAAGAATATTATAAACATACTTTTTCTCTTAAAATTTGTTATTAATTTTAAACTTGTAGACAATACATATCCTTGATGGACATACATGAATATAAATTTCTATTTTTTTATCTTTTTATATTTATTATATATTTCCATCATATTTTTCATTAAAACTTAATTTGTCATTTAATGTTTTTTTGTTGAATTTTGGATTAATAATCCATAAAAAAATATCTTCTTTTGTTTGATTGGATCATTGGCTCACTAGTGGATAGCGTATTTACTTAGAGTTCCCTTACGTAATGTTTATCACATATGAGGCTTGTGTATTTAACGGTTCAGGTCACTGATCATCCGCGAGAAAATGCCCGCGTATACCATTCCCATCGAACAAACGGCCTTCGGCGGTTTCGCCTCGACATTGCGATCGATGCCCTCGTGGTTTCCACGAATGAACGTTTAGCCGGTTTTCCAGTCCGCGCTCTCACCCGGGCCATGATTAGCGCCCTTTTCGGCGGAAACGAATTATTGTTGTCGGCTAGTCGTCGCGTTGGTAACGCTGCCGAACGCGATGTGTGGTTAAGACTTCAAGTTCGACCGCTATGGGCCATGGAAATTCTGGTCGCGATCGATCGCAGGGCAAACTCGGGGCGAAATTCGATGGTTATACCTTCCCTTCTTCCGCGGTATCGATTTCGAATACGTCGAGGAAGTTTCTTACGCGCAAGCGTGGGGGTAGCCATATACAAATTTCAATTCAATCCAAGCAGATGAGATGACACTGTCCTAACTATAAGGGCTCACTTTTGAAACGCATCATAGTGCGGACGAGAATTACTGAGAATAAATTTATACGATACAATATAATTCTATACATATTAATTACAATTTTTGCACAATAAAATGTCTATAGGTATACTACTTTGCGCTCCGTTTCTATTTAGAAAACAAATAGAAACAAGGAAAACTATAATCTGCAATTTCCCCTTCGACTCTAATTTATTACTTTTGTCGGATTGACGTACACTGAAATCTCAACACATATGACGCGAATTCGCTTGCGACGCGACACGTCAATATATTTTGCATTCATGCGATCGCATATAAAATTGCCTCGTGCTGCTTTCACGCTACGGCCGGATCAAGTAATCTCGGTCGCGCTATTTTCAATGCGATCTCCGGCCGAATTATCCGAATTATCCGTCTGGCGCATTAAGCATTTAGGAGCCGTCCGCACGTCTGCGACCTCAGATCGTCGCATTGGTTCATGGACTGTCTCGGTCGATCTTGTTTGATTTTAAGAGTGCATCGTTTTCAAATCGGGATATCTTATAATCATTACACCGATTATTATAAAGATGAGATAAATCAATTCGACCGCGTCTCGAGATTCCTTCAGAATGTGTAGTGCATTAATTCATATATAAAATTAAAAAGACCAGACGCAGACTCTGACAAAAGAGACACGGAATTTTTCGAGACTGATATCAGTACAGTTAATATTTATTTATTCATAATATTCATATGTATAATAAACAAGAATAGAAATTGTGAAATTACACAAATGTGTGTAACGCAAATGATTCGAATTTTTGCTTTTTTTTAGAGCCAAAGATATAAAAAATTATTTACTTATATAAGTTATTATTTAATTACATATTTTACAAAGAATGGAATATATGTATAATTATTTTTATAACAAAATTTAAATTTTATCTTTGTAGAATTAAAAAAGATATTACAACAGAGAAATTGCATGAATATTCCATCAAGTTTTTACATAAAATATAAACTTTCTATGTATATAGTTTTATAGAAAAACATAATTTATATAAAATTTGTTTTACCTATATATGTAAAATATTATGTCTTATGTATTGGTAGAATGTTTTTAAAAAAATAACATATGTATAATGGTAATAGACTGGAATATAGACTGGATAATAGAATAGATTACATTACACTGCGATTTTGAAAAATAGACAACATGTTTATAAACTAATATTGATCTGAAATAAAAATTATAAAAATTTTGAAATTAAACGTGGTACTGTAAAACTTTATGAGCACACGATCTTAATTATATATATTGTTCAATATTAGATTTTCATGTCCTATGACATGCAGATGTATTACCGAGCATCCTACATGATAAAGAAAATGTCGATCTTTGCAGGATCAAAGGTCGAGTACGCGGCATATTTCACATATACGTACTGCGTTATCTTTTCAACTTTTGACCTCTTTGATCATGGCGTACGTTCGCAAGCTTTTCCGAAGCTATTGTAAATTTCAGATAGATGCGCTTATGCACCATTTTATTGATGTCATAAAGATACCAATAAAGATTATACCAATTGCTTTGCAGCAATGTCAGACGGTAATGCGAATAAAACTTGCACCAGCTATAAAATTAACTTTGCATCAGGTATTTGTAGAATTAGACCCGTCCGGTGTATCGCATAATTTCTGATAAAATTTTAATAAATGATAAAACAGTAAACATATTATTAAAAGACAGATTACAAAAAGTTTAAATGTGGTAGTTAAAAAATTAATTTTCAAATTTTGATTAAAAGATCCTCACATATTTTTTATTTTAGGCTTCTTAAGAAGCGCATTGTATTGCATTGAATAATGCGCTTCCGTGTCACAAAAATTCATTCATTCGTAACGTTTATTTTAATTGATCCATCTAAAACAATCGCCGAAAATGCATCGTGTATGTATAAAATATATGCATATCATAGAAAATCACTATAAACGCAAAAAGAATCGCAGTTTATTCAATACGTGTATTATACCTATATAATGATTCGTGGTCTCTCAAGAAGGAAAATGTATAGAAATAGCAAACTTAGACATTTACATTAATATTTAAATTATATTAACAACAATTAATATAAATATAAATTATATATTTATTATAAATATATTAAATTTATATTAAATATATTTATAATAAATATATTAAATATTATATATTAAATATAAAAGGTGCCTCGATCGAAGCAAATGGCTGCCGCCGGAGAAACCCCGTTTCTGCAACAGCACGCCGAGCATCTATCTGTCGCGGACCTGCTGCGATAAAGACCTCTGCAACCTCAATTTATACCCAATTTTATTATCTTCCACGTCTGAATTGTCTTCAGGTATATTCTTCCAAGGGTTCGCGATCGGTGAAGATTTTTACACGCAGAAAATTTTTCTCGAAGATACAAGTATACACGAACAAAGTAAAATACCATACTAATCTTCCACGGCTAGGATATAGTCATAATATGCAAAAGATTTCAAGAAAGTATAAGAAATTTAGAGAGCAAAAAATAAAACTATAGCAGAAGTAAATATTTTCATCAAGTATGGGACCTTTTTCAAGAGCGCGTTTTACTATATATTAATACTGCGTTCGGCAATGCAAATCCGAAGCGTCGAATGTGCTTTTAACCTCGAAAATCGTTCGGCAATTCTCGATACGCAATGAATATTTCTATATATACAGTTCACAGTAGGTTCACCCTAGATTATATTTTTTCTTATACTGTCTTAAGATACAACGTGCAATTCAAGCTACAACGTCGAATATACACATGTTATTAGCATATATGGGACTTTTTTTACTTTTCTCATATTTTCTTGTTAGTATGGCAAATTTATTTGCCTTTAGGTTACAAGATGTATCTGATCAAACTATTATTTTTCTATTGTCATATATTAATTTCCGGTTGAATACGCGTATATCCTACCGATGCGATGCAAATCTAGTAAATTTTATTATGAGTATTCTACATTATTTGAGAAAAAATTTCTGCGTGTACTATCTGTATAATTATACGTGTGTGTATAATTTAACCTTAATATCAGTTTGAGAGACTCCAACTAACACACGTTGCATCGTAGTGTCTACCGTTTTACCCCTAACCCACATTTTCTTTGCTGTGCCGAGTTCGATTTGTTCAGAATGTACGAGATGTGCCTGCTTTGAAGATCGTTTCCGGCGATCTGACGGCGTTTCTCGAGATTGTCCCTTTCTCGAGTTCGCCGCGGGGTTACTGTAGTAGAACAAACCCCGATCGATAGAGAAAGACTCGCGTCGCGAGTCGACGCCGGGGGTCTCCGCGCGTTATATAGCGTTGTACGCCCCGATGCTATCCCCACAGGAGTCGCAGAATTTCAGGAATCACGAAGCTATGCTACCACTGGCTACCCCCACATGTCAGGTATCACGAGAGTGTGTTGAGTTGCACGGTGTTGCGGATTTGCTCCTCCCGACTACCAGCTCCCGCTCTCTCGCATCCTCTCCCGGTTTTTTTTTCTTTTTGAGTATTTCTCTTTCGGTTTTGCTGGAGTTTGCTCGGTGATCCCCTGTTCCCCCGATAGCATCCGCATCCGTGTGGATTGCGCGATGCGCAGTAACTCTCAACGGGTGCGTTCCCAACGCGTGCACGTATCAAATGCGAAATGTTACCGCGCTATTATCGGCTAATTGATATATATATATATATATATATATATATATATATATATATATATATAATATACACATATATAATATTCAATTAGACTTAGTTTATTCAATGAAACTTTCAATTTTATCTCAATATTGTTATAAGATTCATAGATTCAAGTAAAATTGATCTGTTTCAAACGTAATTTCTGAAGAAGAAAATTCTGAGAAGAATGATAGGTATAATTGTAATTGAAATAATAAGTACAAATTGCCATTATATAATTAAATTAACAAATGTTGGACGGTATTATCAGAGATTAAGGAAATTTGATCGAACATTGAGAAAGATTTTCAGTGTTTTCGATAAAATAATATAATCAAAATTAAGAACTTTTAAAAGCTAAATGAGAAATTGAAAAAATATAGAAATAATTTAGAGATCCAAAAAATTATATTAATAAGAAAAGGATTTAACGATCTTAACTATATATGTATCTGCATATTCTGCATACAAGAGCCTTAGAAAGTATTTACAAAACGTCAACTTGTGAATGTTCACTTCGTTAATATATAGGTGACTTAACGTATTTGAATTACATATATGAAATAACAGAAGACAAAATCGACGATATTGGTAAATAAGAGGCAGACTCAGAATACAACCTTAGAAGCGCACTAATCCCTTTTTGTGATGTTACCAAGGGATCGAATCCCCGTTTGCGTTTTTTGCCTTGAAACCGCACGATACGAATCCCCTTTTGATATCTCGTTCGCCTCGATGCGAACGCGTCGCGCGCGCGCGCGCGCGCGCGCTATCCCGAGTTCTCCTCACCTCGTTTTCTGAAACTGGTGCAAAATCGGCTTGAAGGTGCGTGCTTAAACACCTGCCGCCGTCGCAGCCCGAGCCGCGCATCTTCTGCATGACGAGCGACTCGCGAAACACGACCTTCGTCATCGAATGCTGCAACAAAGAGGATTTTTGCAATCGGGATCTCAAACCTCTGCTACATCCTAGCAACAATGAAGGTATAGTCCAAACAGACCTGGAAGTTACGAAAACTCTGCAGGTGGCACGGGCTTTAGCTGCAACTCTCCTCTCTCACTTTCTTTCTTTCTTTTTTTTCTCTTTATGTATCTATCTCTGCAACACGACTTATAAAATACATTCTCGCTGTATCTTAATTATTTATAGAATGTTATAGTTGGTTTTTGTTGCCGATCTATACCGAGGTGTATATAACGAATTTGAGAATAGCACATCACTAGAGAGTACGACGTTTAATTATGAAACGTCTAAATTGTGTGTATATTGACGAACTAGACATTCACGATATTAATTACTTTACAATAATACGGGCAATATAAGCATAGCATATATTCGAGACAATTCCTGAAAATACCTAAACTGTAAGATTAACAAGAATGGAAGCGAAACACGCAATTGTGTACGTGGCACAAAGAAACTGTTTTCAAGTTTGAAGCTAGTTTGACCTATCCCACGCAACTACTTAAAGCGTTAAAGGGGCAGCTCTATAATATTCGCAGTAATTTTCGAAATTATTAAGTTCTTATTCATATAAGTTAACTCTCAATTAACTTTATCTGCATATAATTGATGCAAACAGTTCTAGCCAGATTTTTTTGTAATCTTTTAGTTATTAAATTATTGTATTTTAATCAAAATAAACTCTATTCATCATTTAATAGAACTATTGAATTTTACGAACATGTATTTCGCGTAAATACTCAGTCATGTAATCCCGAGTTCAAAGTATTCATCATTTAAACAGTGTTTCACACCGTCATATATTTTCTTGACAATAGGATATATCTAATTAAATCGTTTGCGAGAATCTTTGCAATATATCAAAGAAATAAGCAATCTGTTTTTAGTATAAATATTTCACATTCTATCTTTTTTCATAAATGAGATAAATTATCAACAAATAAATTCAAGAACTTTTATTATTGTCAGAATTTGATTTAAAGCATTATTTGCATATTAAGAAGAAGATATTGGTTTTTTGCAGAAGGATTTGTGCTCAATATAAAGTCACTTCTATCTTTAATGGAGCAGAAATGGCTTCAAGCAGCGGTTAAAGCGTTTTTACGTAGCTATAAGAAGAGAATTAGCCAAGTCACGGGTTATTTTTTTATGGTCGGAATAAAGTGTTACGTCATGGCTCTGCTAGTGTATATATTTTTGTCTCGCTCATATATTATCATCTTGAACTCAGTCTGACACGCTCTCTGTCGCGCTCCCGCTGCCGTTATCTGTGTACAATGTACGAAATGTATCGAAATTATCATGATATTTTGTGAGTAGATTATTTTAATCTATACCGATTTCTATTAAAAGCATAAATGATTGATTAATATTTTTTATTGATTAAAATGAAATATTCTTCCAGTTATGATTCCCAAACTTCCATGGTTTTTTATTTCAAAAATACACACACTGCATATACCTATTATTTTTTATCTACTTTTACTCTTGGATTTTAATTTGTTAAACTCCTTAGATTTTTAATTGCTTACAAGTTGAAAAACATTTGTACCTTTATTTATGTTAGAAATGAAAAGTTACTTTTATTTCAAATTAATTAAAGAACTTATCTTCTAAACTATCAATCGATGATTTTGGCACATTGTGTGGATTTCTGTATTTGTACAAAGCTATATATATGTGCGTTATATGTACATTATGTAAAGAAAAAAGTGTCTGAAACGCTGCTACACACTAGACATAGACGTGCATATGCGACGCACTATTTGCGTATTCGTGGATAAGCTATACGCTTTTTTTCACCATTTATTACGTCCAATAAAGCGCAACATGACAAACTATTTTACATATCGTGACTTTTTTAACCACGACAGAATACTCTAGAGTTTCTATCTATATATTGCTGGAACTATATCATAATGAGACATAGAATTGAACGTTTAAATTAGATTAAAGTAAATTATAAAGTAAGCATTATTAGGCTATTATCAATATTAACATTTGATTAATATATCTATTATTATATGCGCTCACGCGTGTTTTAAATTATTTCATAATAGGCGTATTGCATATACATATAAATACGTATATTTATATTTCTAAATGCATGCATAAATTAATTTTATTGAAACGAATGCTACGACATTTTGTTTCACGCGAGCAGTAAGGAGTGATACAGATAAGCGTGATCAATAATCGTCTAGCACTTCATTACTTTCCATTATTTCTCCAGCTTTTTTCGTCCACCTTGAGCAGCACACGCCCACATTATTTATATCGTTGATGCACTGTAAATTGCAAAATTATCCGGATAAATTTCAAAATTATATCGATGTTGAGTTGAGATCAATGTAAAATAGACGGTATCTTTAGGAGAAAATAAAACGAGATAACAAATTTGGATAAGATAATATGCTATTGTGACGCTATTGTGACGTTTGACCGAGATGTTTGCCACCTCCGGAGCTTATATAGTCGCTTCAAGGCGATCTTCTCTTGTATTTTTTTTCCTTACAAGTTGTACGCCGGAAATCCTCCTGAGTGAACTCGGAAAGGACCGGTAGCATGTTGTCATAGCTCTCTTCTCTGCACTCTTTATCGACAGTACTATCCCGTAGTATGTACTTCGATAGCGTGACCCACGCGAAAAAGGGTGGCTTTTGTAAATATTTTTCTCGCCTCCTGTAGTAACCTTCAGATTTTCTGCAAAACTTGCGGTTTTTTATTTAACTTTCGCAGAAATGTATTATACACACTTGATGACTTGATTTATTATTATGTGAAGGAACATTAAAGAAGCTGACATGAGAGATCTAATTTTTGTGCAAAAGAACATTATGATAAGACCATGGATTATCTTATTTGCTACTCATAGACTTAGTTTCAAGTTACATTCATTAGTACATATTTTGTTGTTAATATATGATCTCATGTCAAGTTCTTTTTAACTTTCGTAATACTATTTATCAGGAAACTTTCTTGAGATTGTGAAGCTTAAATAGGATTGAACTACTATTACTTTTTTTTCCGCATGCCTCTTGACTTTATGTATTTATTATCTTTGTACATGCCGTTGAATACTTTTATGGAATTTGAAGAAAATGTAGATGATATTTTTCCCCTTGTTTATTAATGGTAAAATAAAATATCTTATATTATTGTTGTTTATATGGATTAATTTACAGTATATTGTAAAATTTGCGTCAAACTTCAGAATTTTTTCGACAAATTTTAATATTTTATTTGATTTATTATTGTATTTATCCTTCTTTTTAAGTAATTTCTTTAACGGAGAATAAATTTCTCTGAAAAAATTAACTTTATACACAGAGGTTTTTTATATAGTAATTAATATTAAATAAAATTTAACAACATTAAATAAAATATAAAATTTTGTTACTTGTAAAAACTTTTTTAGTTTATCTTGAAAAGATTTTATTTAGATAAAAGTTTAACTACAGACACGTTATCAAATAACAATATAACAACATGACAAAATATTTATAAACTGATGACTTGTGAAAAGAAAAAATAATTAATTTCTTTACAAATAAAAAATTACTTAATTACTTAAAATTAGATAATATGTACATATAGAACTTTGATCCAAAAATTACAAAATACTGTGTATACTATTACTGTATACTGATCTACACATGTATGTTACTGAGGAAAATGTGATATGTTCTTAAAATATTTTCCAAGTATTTATTCTTTAATAAAGAAAATTTATTATTATTAAAATGTAGATTTTTTTCAAAATTGTTATTGCTTTTTGACAAAAACAGAGTGATATAATACTTTCACAACTTTTTCTCTTCTTCAGATATGTGTAGATTCTTTTAAAGATTTGCATCAACAGCTTTGGCCAGCTGGTTCTTTGATTAATAACTATTTTTCTCGTTTCAAACTATATAACTTTAAAATTTTATATTAATTATGATGGCTTTGAATTATAATTTCAGCTGTAATATAAACAGAAAAGAAAATCGATTAATCACACGATCAAAGCTAACCGATGCAGTCAAGTTTAGATGTATGCTAATTATCTTTCTGCAGCTTATTAAACTCTGCGTTGTAGCATACTGAGCCAATTAAAATGCTGCCATTAGCATTCCTTTATTCCTCTTTATTTTTCTTGGATACTATCCCATCAAAGTCTTACTCCGATGATTCGCTGATATACACTTTATCTGCAATCTCTAGCGTATTACGTCATTTTACAGTTTACGGCAGCTGTCGAGTGTATTACCACTTTTCGGCTGAAACGCCATAGTCAGTCTGGTCCGCAGCAGTACTTGTTATGTAAATTATTTTCCCAGGTGTTACAATAAGATGAACTTCTTTCCGGACACGGAATACTCTGTCTGGTGCACCACGAACAGTACGCTACGCGGTCCAGATGGCAACGAATTCGTGGTCGCTTGTTGCGATCATTCTGACTACTGCAATCGCGATCTAAGGCCTTCTTTTCCTACTTACGAGTCCAGAGGTCGGTCGTATTCTCGCTTCGCGAACCGCCTCAGAGGAGGTACAATAAATCGCAGCTGAAACGGCTGCCGCCTTTAAATTCTTCGCCTTCAAGGTTGCTTTGGCCGCAAAGTTCATTTCTCCGCTGAATGAGATACTCGCAAAAACGTACTGGTTGATAAATTCGAAGGATTCAATGGCGGAAATGCTGAAGATGATATTTCTATCTAGGCCAGAAAGAAATAAATTCTTCTCTAAATAAAAATTAAAGAAAATTTAAACAATTTTATGATATTATATTTATTTAGTAAAAGATTTTTAGCAATCTATTTATTAAAATAATAAATGTGTTAAAATTATTTGTATAATTATGAATTTCAGAAATAGTTAAAATGTTTTCATTAATAAGATGATTATATGTTAGTTCGGTTTTGTAATGTAATCGTGACTTAGGTTTATATTAAAATGCATATATTAAAATGTGACGGTGTTAGAGAAAGAGGAGAAGATCATTGCCATTAGGTTAATGATATTTGAAAAATGTAAATAA